GCTGGGGGACGTAGGCCACGGAGCCCTAGATGGCAAATGGAGGGAGAAAGGCAGACAGGCAGGTGTGGGTTAACGAGGCAACAGCTACACCCACAAGTGGGGGAGTCTTAATTCATAAGCCATTCATCACCCTGCTGTTTCTACAGCCAGAAAGCAGTCAGGGAGGGCTAGAGATGCAGAGCTGGGGTCAGGGCCCATCCACAGCAGGCCAGTCACGGGCCCCAACATCGGGAGCTCGAGAGTCAAAATCTCCGTGTCTTCAGTGGGATTACTGTTGAGGGTTATTACAGGTTATGTTATCGTTACGCACTTTGTGGCAATCCACTGGATGTCTGCAAGAGTGAACAAGATTTTTTCCTCCCAAGAGTGGGGAGTCCCTGACGTGATAAAAATTAATTTGACTACATTTGTAAATGATGCTAAGAGAGAAGGAAATATACACGAGACTTTTTAAAGCCTTCTGAAAGCAGAGAGCTTATGTGGACATCAGGGAAGGACTCCTCGAAGAAATGTCCTCCACTAGGTGGACTTCTGCGAGGACTTCTACATCAAAACCGCCTGTTTCAAGACTTGTGCCTTCCATGTACCTAAGTTATCAAGAATGGCATGAGAAATAATCAGGTCGGGGGAGGGTGTTTTATATACTTTGGTTCAAACACTGAGATTGTTTTTTTAAAAATAAGTAAATAAACGAACGGGTAAGGATAAGCTGGTTTGACAAAGAAAGGGAAAAGCATTTGACTCAGAGGAAACAGCATGTGCGAAGGCATGGAGATGAGAGGAACTTGGCCCGTCTGAGAAGCAGGAAGGCGGGTGTGCGTGCAACGTGGCTGAGGGACAGACAAGGGCTGGCGTGTGGCTCACGCAGGGTAAGTGGCTCCTGGCGAGGAGCATGGGCCTTCCCTGCGGGTCGGGAGCCACCGAAGGTTCTTAGAGGAAAGAATTCAAGAGCAACATGGTTGAAGATGGAATCCAGATCTCCTGACTTGCTATCTTAGGCCTCAGATAAATATCTGAGCTGCGGAATCTGATGTGGCCACATACAAGCAGCCTCAGTAGCATAAGCCTCAGGCAGGTCAGACGTGGTGAGCTGAGTGGAACCCAGTAAAGCGTCAGGAGAAACCACTTTCTGGCCAGGACAAAACCACCGACCATGAGGAATTGGTAGCCTCAGTAAGCTGCTAAATACTCATGTATCCTCAACTTCCAGATTCTTCATCTTATATTTAAAAGCTTTCTACTTTCGAACAGTGGGACTTATTAGGGGATGATTTTGCCTCCCAGGGGACACCTAATAATGTTTAGGGACACATTCAGTTGTCACAAGTGTGGGAGGGTCTGGTGGCAGCTAGTGGGGGCGGGGGGCAGGATGCACTGAACATCCCATTACGCGCAGGGCCAGAGTCACCCCGCCAGCAGTCACTGCTGGGATGTGGCAATCAGGGTTAACGGGGCTGAATGCAGGATGCCAGCGTAGTTGGGAATGTTTTGCCATTAACTGAGCTCACACTGCCTGCAATCTTACTGTATAACACACGCTTAAAAGGAACAGACATTTGCCTTTTAAAAAAAGAATTATTTTGTGCAGAACTAGGGCACAGACTAGAGGTGCGCAGGGCAGGGGGAGGGTGAAAGGATTCCCCAGAGGCAGAGTGGGGAGCAGGACAGGCGGATCGACTGCGTACACTGCTGAGGGGAGCAGCGGGGAGACAGGGGAGGTCTGCTGCGCCCTGTGGGTCACTCACTGCCGGGGACCAAACCCAGGCGGTAGCAATGACAGCGCTGACACTTACCCCCTGGCCACCAGGGAGGCCCAGAGCAACAGACACTTCCCAAAATAGTCAAATGCCTTGTTTCGGACCATTTGACGACGAGGCACAGGCCAAAGTTGGGCCATACTGGGCTCCTCAGAGTCAAACAGGTTTTCCCCCTTGAGGACTGCTCAGAGCCTGAAACTGTCTCCCCAGGGGGAGGCGTCCGAGTACCCCCAGCCTCAGGAGCACAAGGCTTTTTATTTGCAAAGCATCCCTCAGGTTGAGTTGGCTGCAGGCCTTGCTCCGGAAAGGCTGGAGCCACAAAACTGCAAGGAAAGGTGTTCACGGGCCCCACGCCCCACAGCACCCTCATATTCCCGGAGGTGACCTCTTAACCCTCTTTTGGAGGCTGACGCCAACGAAGGGCTCAGGGATTTCAAAGCCATAAGGAATACAGTCTCTCCTTTCGGCCCACGTCAAGGAGTCAAAGGACACTTAGGATTTAAACAGACTCTTTTTAAAAGAATTTTCTAGGGAAATACCCCAGGGACATAAATGTTAAGTTCCACTGCGGCTGCATGGGCGGTACCCAGAGAGGCCCCCAGCAGGAGGGCGAGCCAGAGAGGCCGCAGCAGAGCCGGGACACCCTCCCGGGTGGCGACGAGAGTGCGGTGCCCGCTAACGAGCCCAGGCACCACCCAGGCGCTGGGAAGCAGCAGGAAGCAAGTGGCATTGACTCTGCCTCCCAGGATGACGCAGCGGAAAAGCACAAGCGCGAGAGGAGCGGGAGAGGAGCTCCCAGCTCCGGCTTCACGCACACGGACCAGCGTCGGAGAAAACTCACACGGCCTGCCCCGGCCCCTGCCCCGACGTACCTTGAGAGCCACGTGTCCCTCCACCTTGTCCATCTCGGCTAAGAGTGCGGAGAGCAGGGATGACTTGCCACAGCCCACCTGGCCCACCACGGCTACCAAGGAACCTTCCGGAATGGAGAAGGTGATGCTGAAACGAGAAGAAACACCCTGGGGCTCAGCCCTGCTCGAGCCTGAAGACACAGCGGGGCTGCCATCTGGCGTCGGGGCGCCCCCCTGCCCTGCCCTGCCCCCGCTGAGCTGGCTCAGGGACAGTCTCAGGCCTCCATCCAGGGCACAGGCCACGGGGGGCAGGGGAGGACCCAAAAACATCTTAGAAACAGGCCTGGTCTGTGCGCCCTGAGGAGGAGCTGGGGGAGGGTGACTAGTTTGCCTGGGGTCACGATGGAGGCACCCTGAGAGGATACCCCAAAGTGGACTCTGAATGAGCGAGCACCCCAGACACAGGAACTGGGCACTGCTAAAGGAAAGGACAGGTCCAAGCCAGTGTCCACATGTTGACCACAAGAGATGACAAGGCAGGGAAGACCCCAGAGACACTGGGCTCAGAGGCCCCTGCCGGCCGGCTGGGAGCCAGAGGGTTGTTGGAAAGATGAGCCCAAATTGCAGACACATGCCTCTACAGATGCCACCCTAACACACAGCTGCAGGCGAGCAGGGGGACACATTCTGCCAGTGGAACGGTTGTCTCAGGATGGGGGTACCGTCCTGCTCCCCCAGTCGGCCTCCTGGGCTGACACGTGGGCTGTGCCTTCTAGCACCTGCAGCCGTTCTCATTCCCCGCGTGGGACGATGCCACAGGCCTCACTGCCACTGACCGGCTGGGGTGTACCTGCTACAGAGCCACACTGACCATTCTCCAGACCCTGTGCCACGAGGGGAAGGGGCCACAGGCCCGGGACAGCTTCCTCTAGCTAAGGTGGAGCATTTTTATAGGCCAGGAAGAGGAAAGGTTTAAGTGGAGAAAGGTTCTAGGTGTCCACGGCAGGGCTTGCAAGGACAGAGGGAAAGATGGGGACACAGATGGAGATTATTTAGCTGTGGAGAAGGATGACATAGAAAAGCTAAGATTGAAGCAGGCAGGAGCTAAGTTAGACCTACCGCAGACTTGCCTCAATGTGCACTCCCACTGTGAACCCCCAAGGGGGTGCCACGTGGATACTCTCGGGGGGGGCTCCCTACCACCTCCACAGATAAAACATGGCAGTAACTGGACTGTCCAGCAAGGAAACAGCTGTGTAGGGGAGGAGGGGGTATAAATCCTGCCCCTACAAATGTCACTTCTGGGACTGTGTCTGGGGCCTCTGGAAGGAAGCCTGGAAGAGCCGGTGAACAAGGCCTCCAGTCAGAAACAAAAGGCAGTTGACAAGCTGCTGGAGAACAGGCCAGTTCCCTGTACCAAGCTGTGTGTTTTGCAAAGATAAGGACTGAGGAGGGTAGTCGGGGGCAGACGGGGAGATATGAGCAGTGTGGGATCTGGGGAGCAAAGTGCGCGGGCCCCATCCTGACACAGACCTCGACCTGCCTGTCTCCACGGGAGGCCTGGGAGCTTTGGCCCAGCCTGGCCACGGCCAGTCAGCGCACTGTCTGTCCAGGCACAGGGAGGGCCCAGGAAGGGCCACATGATCCACACCGGGGCGAACAGAGGCAGACAGGGCAGCTGGCAAGGCAGGAAGTGTGGGTGGCTGGCTGGGACCCCTGTGCCACGTGAGGGCGGCCATACAGCGAGGGCACGGGAGAGCCGGGGGGTCCTGAGGGCTCTGCGTCCCCAGGCCGCACCGCACCTGTCCCCTCTCAGCTACGTGGGCGAAAAGCCCCCTCTGCACAGCCTCTCTGTGGGGTTTGTGGCACTGACGGGCAGGAGGAACCCCCGGTGCTGGAAGCCTCTGTCTGCGGCCAGCATGTGTGACTGGACCTGTTTCCAGCGGGGAAGCAGAGGCTCTGGAAGGCACAGCGACCCCCTGGAGGCCAGAGAGCCGGGGCGGGGCTGGACCTGAGCCCCGAGTGGCCAGAGCGCCCAGGCCCTGCTCACCCATTCAGCGTGGGAGCCTCGCTCCTGGCCCAGGTGAAGGTGGCGTTCTTCACGACGACACTGTTCGTGACCCCGCCTGAAAAGCACAGGGACAACACGTCAGGCGTCAGTGGTGTCCTTCGCAGCGCTGAGCCCAAGCGGGAGGCTCTGCTTTTCTTTTTTTCCCTAACCAAGTAGTTCCACCCTGAGGCTGCCGCCCTAAGAGCCACAGCTTGCATCAGCCGATGTTTTATCAAGAACCCCCATCAGTGGCCTCAGACCCAGAAAGCGGAAGGAAACGCGACAGCACCTCCGCTTTGGAGACAGGAGGTTGCGCCCATGTGGGGGCCGGCCAAGGCTGCAGGGCTACCCGGTCTTGGGAGGCGCAGGGAGCTCTGCGGAGAGGTCAAGGGGCAGCGAGCAGCACCTTCGTCGAATGTTCCCTCCATCAGGCTGGGCCGGCCCTGCACCCTCCAGCTCCCACCCAGGGCCCACGCTTTAGGTTCAGCGGGGGATGTTCGTTGAGAAGTGGGAGCTGCAGAGGGCTCTCCTGGAAGAGCAGGGTTTTCAGTCTGGGCATCGCCTGGGCCCGAACGGTCTCTCCCTGACACAGAGGGCTCGGGCGGGGTGGCTCGGCATGGGCAGGGCGCGGAGCAGCCTCCTGGCCCGACCCCCTAGACGCCGTCCCTGCATCAACCAAACCTGGGTCTGGCATTTGCCTGGAGAGCAAAGAAGTCCGTGGGCAAGAAGAAAGGGACAGAGTGTTTGCCTGGATCTCGGGGAGGCCTACAAACACTTCTCCCCTCTTTCAGACGCCCCCCCGGATCCCCTCTCCCTTCCCTTTAGAACAGATGGATCCTTCTAGAACACCAGTCGCAATAGCCAGAAGAGGCTAGCTATGGACCAGGAAGTGGGGTATCACTGCACAGGGGAGGGGACAGTGTTTGAGACAAAGGCGGCTTTGTATGGCCAGCTCCTGGTTCCCAGGTTTCTATACCTCTGTCGTAGTTTACCTTCCCTCTCTTTGTTTGCCTTTATGACCATCACTTAACAAAGCAATGCCTGATGCTAAACTATGAGCTACTTTCAAACCACGCCGAGATAACATGAGAGATTTTTAAACTTGTCAAATGAAGAAGGAAATTCACCCCCCTCATCACAGAAACAAAACAGAAAACCAGAGGAAGTTACTGGTTAACCTGATTAACCTCCCTGGCCCCCCAAACTGAGAGCGAGGCGGGGAGCCACTTGACTCAGAGGAGCTAGAGCTCTTAAGACTTGACCCCAGGAGCTGCCTGGCAGCTAGAGCGCAGGAATACACATCAAAAGTCCTGGGAGTCTCCATGGGCAGGCAGGGCCTGAGGCCGAGACAGCACAAGCAGGCCTGGGGTGCTGCCAACATGACCTTTGCATAAAACCTTAAAACCTCCCGTGGTGGTGCCCACTTCAGCAGAGAGCTCCTGACCCTAGATTAGATGACATCGGTCCTACATCACGGCCCCGATGGGGAAGGGGACAGGGACCTGGTCCTGAAGACAGCAGAGACTGGACAAGCGCAGGCCGGGGGTGTTGGAAGAAGATTCTGGCATCCAAGGGACAGCAGTGACAGCAACAGGAGGCCACGTGGCCCCTGTAAGGCCATCGGCCCTGTCTGGAGACACTTCGGGCTGTGAAAACTGGGGTGGGAGCTTCTGGCATCTAGCAGGTGCGGGCCAGGGTCGCCACTCCGCATCCTCCAGCATAATCAACTCTGCACAGCGAAAATTATCTGGCAGGTGAGGCAGAAAGTCAAAGTCCCAGGAGTGTCGGGGCAGGCTGAGGCCTGAGGGCTGGAGCCTGAGGCTGAGAAATGCGGCCCCAGAGGGCAGACAGCAGGTGACTGTCCTTTCCCCTGGAGCAACCACCTGTGCCCGGCCGGGCTGCTGGGTGGCAGGACAGCACGCACAGGGCCAGGTACACACATTCCCCCGCTCCGACCGTATTTATCGGGCGACCGCGTGAGTCTGGACGCCAGTGCCGCCACTTCCTAGCTGGAGGGCCGAGAGCAAGTCACGGGATTGCTCTGCCTCACGTTCCTCCTCTGTAAAGTGGCGTCACCATCATGGGAGGGCTGGGGTCAACAAGGGAGGCCACACTCAGAGCGCCCACAGCCCTGGCGGCACAGAGCAGGTGCCTGCTGGGTCTCTTGTCTCACAAGTGGGGTGTCGCCCAGAATGAGCGGGCCAGGGGCCGCGTACTTGGGGAGGCAGTGTCATGCTGGTGGCATTCGTGTTTGCTGCCAAACACCTGGAGCGCCAGCACAAGGAACAGTCCGCGCGGGTGTCGACTGGGAGAGGCTTCGGTCAAAATCTGTACCATCCCTGCCAAGGGAAGGCACCGCCACCCCTTTACCCACACGGGGAAACCCAGGCTCAGAGCAGTGCTGTGGCCTGCCCTACACCGGCTATTAGTGTGGGAGGTGGCCCGCCCCCAGTGCTGGTTCCCAGTCCAGCAGCCCAGTTGGAAAAAGACTTGAGGCTGGGCCTGGAAACTGAGCCTCAGGGGGGTTCCCAAAGGGAAACTTAGGGAGGGAGGCCTCACTGGTGACAGCAGCTCCCCCCACCCCGCCATGAGGAGACCCCACTCCCTGGGCCTTGCTCACAAGCAAGGGGCGGGCAGAGTGGAGGGTGGGGGAGAGCCGGACAGGCCGGTGGCCGCAGGGCAGAGGAGAAGCGAGAGCACACACCATCTTTGACGGACCGTCGCTCGATGCTGTCGGGCTCCAGCTCCTCATGGGAGAGAAAGATCCGGAGGCGTTTGAGGGAGACACTCGCCTACACAGAAAGCAATGTAGTTATTTTTAAAAACATTTGTGCAGAATAGATGCAGGCTGACGTTCAGCGGTTTCCCCTGGGTGCAGAGGGCCCCCCACGCTGCAAGCTACTTCGCTCCTGAAGCTTCTGCATTTCTGAGGAGTGGAGGCTTTAGAATAAAACAAAGAACCAGTGCTGGACCCTTGCTTGTTTTCCTTTCAAAGGCCACAGTGGTAGTCAAGACCCCTAGATGCAAAGGGTCTTAAGAAACGTAACAGCCACAGGCAATGGGCCCAACCAGCGGTGAGGAGCAGCGAGCCCTGCAGATGGGCGTGGCCCAGGACAGCTCAACTACACGCCACAATAAACTCCAGTGCTGCTGAGATCACAGGGAGGTGGTCTCACCACACATGAGATGTGACGACCAGGTCAGCCACAGAGACGCCGGCTGCCATGGTAACCACACGGCCGATCATCTACATCCGCACATCTTAACCATTCACCAGGCTACACATCAGCTGTATGTAAACAGTCAACTCAAAAAAAGCAAAGGTACTGCTGGGAAAACTGGGAAGCTACATGCAAAAAAATCAAACTAGATCACTGCCTCACTCCAGTCACAAAAATCAACTCGAAGTGGATTAAAGACCTAGACATAAGAACGGAAACCATAAAATACCTAG